CTATCGCTTTCACACAGACTAAATAATAATATACACTGTTTTGGGTTATTTTACCCAAAAATACAGCAGAATACATTTTTGGCCTACATGTATGAAGACAAATTTTTTATTTGCTAAATTTTATAAACAAAAACTAAGCAAAAAATGTCTTCAAAATTTTCAGTATTTTTTCATTTATATAGCAAAAATTAAAAAACCCAGTGGTGATCAAATACCACCAAATGAAAGCTCTATCTGTCTGACCCTGACCTTGACCCAAACACAAACCCTGGAACTGAACTAGATCAAACCTTGATTTAGGTATTTTTTCTTTATTTTTTATTTTATTTTTTAATATTTATTTATTTATCTTTTTTTTCTCTCTATTTACATGTGATCAGCTGTGATTGGACACAGCTGATCACATGACCGAGCCGACATCTTCGGCTCTTCCATTGATCGGGTGATCCGCTGTGTCCGAGGGACACAGCGCACCACCGATAGCCGCGCATGCGCGGTTAGAATGGGACGACGTCATATGACGTCTTCCCAGAACGAGAGAACCGCCTTGGGCGATGTCATTACCTTACACTCTAAAAAAATAATGTTTTTGGCTCAACAAAAAAAAATTAACGCAACAGTTTGCATCAAGCTTTTTAAATTATGACAATGTCTGGTGAAATTAAAGTTGAAGCAACAAACTACATTGCATTGAGGTAATTAGCTTTTCTGATAGAAATGAATGCATTTTTATTTACCGCCAACTTAATTACTGGCATTATAAACACATGTTTTTAAGTTGAGTACTTAAACATATTAAGTTAATTCAAATAGTTTTTCCAGTTTTTTATAAGAAACCTTCAAGTCACGTGTACTTAATTGCTACAATTATGAGCAAGTTTTTTAAAGTTAAAAAAGCAGTTAAAAATCAAGTTGATCCAAATTGATTTTCTGTATTAGTTTTTTAGCTTTGTTTTTTTTATACTAGCTTTCAAAAATGAATTAATCAGTTTAGGCTTACACTAGAATGTGTTGCAGAAACCCCGCAATCTGTGTGTGCATTTCGCGCACCGCATTCAAAATCGCACTACCCTTGCAGTCTGCAGTGGATGTCAGTGTTGCAAACACAGTGCATTTGCCGGGCACCAGATTGCATGGTACAAAACAAAACATGCAATCTGGTTGCACTGTGGTTCAAAAATTGGTGCATGCATGTCTTTGGGTGCGATGTGGTGTGATTTGAGCTCATTCAAAATGAATGGGCTCAAATTGCATTACACTGAAGCACATGTGAATTGCACAGGAATGTGTTGCAGTTCCTTTGTGATTCACATGCACTTCATTGTGTGAACCAAGGCCCAACAATCCAATTGTTAAACAATTGACATTTTTTGCACACCAAAATCAAATCCTTAAAGTTGTACTGATGAATGAGTAAGCACTTTGCATTAAGATTTTTTTTTAATATTGTCTGTCTGGTGCAGAAACTGTTTCTCTACAAGACCTTTGCTATATTGTGCAACAAACTGTGGCAAATATAGTGAAGCTATTGGAGGATATTTGAAAAGTTGATATTTTGTGAGCTTTCTTACAATTTGCTATATTCTTTCCGCATTACCCTGCGACAACCATTTTGTGAACTGAAATAAAAAGTGAAAAATGTCATCTGAGTATGACTGTGCTATGGAACACATACGTTCTTCAGAGAATACTGTACTTGAGACCCATTACTTTAGCACTGGCTTTCAGTCCATCAAGTTCAAGGAACAGTTTTTGAAAACAACTGAGACTTGATTTGTGTTAAGTGAATGGGGGTGGAGACTTGCAATGCAGCTCTCAATGTGGAGCAAAATTAAGTTACCAAGTCAAATTTATTAAGGTACCTTAACTTAAATTTCATTGTACAACAATGAATGCAGAAATGTAACTGTACATGACAAACAATATTAAGTTGATGTAATTTCCAACATTATCATTTCAACACAACTCATGAAAGTAGGTTTTTAAATGAAAAAGTTTATTTAAACCAATAAATTAGGATTTTTATCTTGGAAATACACATTTAATTAAGTGGTGGTAACAGGTCGCTTGAGTTATTTTTTAGAGTGTATATATGGCGGGCGGGAGGCGGTTAAATAAAGGGAAATTGCACACTTTTCCAGATTTAACCACTTGCCAACCATGCTATAGCTGAATGACGGCTACATCGCGGTTGTCCAGTTCTGGGAGGGTGTCATATGACGTTCCCCAGAACAAGCCCTCTCGCGCCCTGGTGATCTCCATAATCGCCATAATCCTACAGACACAGCTGTTTATGTGATGTGGTAAAAAAGGCCAATCACAGTTGAAATGAATTACAAATGTCTGGCGAGATGGTATAGTACACCGAGTATGGCACATAAACAACAAGTAGATGTTTCACCTTTAATTTGGAGAGGTTGTGGGAATAAGGGAACAATGGCACATATATGGCGGGATTGCCTGAAAATACAGAACTACTGGAAAGAAATAATCCAATATATTCAGGAAATATGTGAGATCACCATACAGAAAGACCCGTGGATGTGTTTATTTTATAACTTTGAGCCTTCAGTGAAAACTGCATAAAAACAGGGTATTATATCATTTAATCAGTGTGGCTAAGGGCTTGATTCCCAAGTTCTTGCAAGCTCTGGAGCCACCAAGAATAAATGATTGGATAAATAGAGTTGAAAATATCTATAGGATGGAGGAGTTATATCATATAGAGGAGAATAAAATAGAAAAATGCAGGAAAATGTGGAGTAGTTGGTTAGACTTTAAAACATCTAAAAGATATCCGGAACTGGCATGGAGTTAAGGGGGAAAAGTCTAGAGAGAGTTCGACGGAGTATCTGAAAGGGAGAGTGGAGGTGGGAGGGAAGGGACATAGATGGATAGAGAAGCATGAGAGGAAGAGGAGATAGATACTAGGCAAGGGGATGTGGACAGGGGTAACTGGAGGGGGGGTTGGTGGGAGGAAGGGGGGGGGTACGGGATAATGTGATGTAAAATGAAACTTATGTATATGTGACGTTTTTGTGTATAAGGTTGTTCTTTTTTTGTACTGAAAATTTTCAATAAAGATATAAAAAAAAAGAGAAAGGGCTGATAGCCTCTTTAAGAGGCCGGCGGTGTGCACGTCCTGACGAAGCTCACAGTCACGTGGGCGAAATGGAAGGCATGTGCGCTCGTGTACATCCAGCTCCCATGTTACTTTCCTCACCCTTCTTCTCCTAACCTCTGGGGATATCTCCCCAAAACCCTGGTCCTTCACCACCTCACTCACCCACTAGGCACCCTCCTACCCCCACGAACCGCCGCAACCCCCTCAACCTTATAACTGTCCCCCTCCTCCCCGCATCCATCCCTCCACTCTCGGTTGCACTCCTGAACACCCGATCGGTTTGCAACAAGCTCACCACCTGTCAGGAATGGACTGGCCAGCAATAGTGGGACTCAGCTGCCTTATGAGCTGCAGTACCAGGGCTGGCCAGCGGGTGCTCCCAGCAATCAGAGACTCAACCTTGCAGCCAGTCAAACACCTGGAACTAATTATACTGGGGTATTTAAGGGACATTCAGACCTGCAGACTCTGCCTTGGTGTTGTGTTTCTCTTGGGCCCTGTATCCTGTTCCTGCTCCCTGTTCCTGTCTGATTCTCTGCTGACCCTGCTCTGATCCCTGGCTTTGACCATTCTCCTCTGCCTGACCCTCTGTACCACGCTGCCCGCTACCTGCTGAACCTGGCCTGTGACCCCGACCATTCTCCGCTTGCTCCCCCTGTACCTACCTGCCCGACTGATATTGACCCGGCCTGCCTGACGACGCTTGCATTGTATGTACTGTTATCTGTGGGTGGTTGGTTGGTTTGTTTGCACTGTGTTATGTTTTAGTATTGCACTGCGTTTATGTTTGTATTGTTAGTGTTAATAAATTACATTGTTTATAACATATCTGAAGTCTGCGTTTCCCTGCGTCAGTCACACACCTCTGGTCACACCCGGGAGCCCTGACATTACACCAAGGCCAATCCTGACCAGAAGTGGCTGCACAGGGAAGTCATCTTGGCTTGTTGCTGGGAAGGATGGATCTGGATGAGGTTGCGTATTTATATCTGCTAGTGTTTGATGACAGGGAGTATGCTTATCAAACTCTGAAGGAGTATACCCAGGATGAACTGCTAGAATGTATACGGCTCGCTCATGTTCTAGTAGATCAGGGCACAGAGTTCTCTGAGGTGCAGCCATTGATTGAGGTTTGTGCTGAGTTGGTTTCATCTGGTTCCCCCGAATGCAGGGATGAATTTTTGCCCCCATTTAGTGCAGACCAGGTAGAGTCCCTGGTGTGGTTATTAGAGGATGATGTGGGTTACTTTCTGGAGCGTTATTCCACATGTTCACCACAGACACTAAGAGATTGTATAAACGCAGTGCAGTCATTGACCAGACAGGCTTTGTGTAAGCTGAGCTTTGTTCAACCCATACTGCAGACATGGACAGATTTGTTGCACCCAGCCTCAGTCAGCTTACAAAGACCCAGTCCTGCTTCTAATCTATTTCCTCAAAGCTCTACTCCTGCATTCCCAACAGCTCCTCCTGCCCTGCTATCTACCGCATGTCAGTACCCTGTTCCCACTCGCTGCACCTATCCTGCCTTTAACCCTGTAAAAAAGCCCTCTGTAGCAACTGCTCCCTCCTCTGTCCATCCTCCAGCTCTTCTCTGTCTCCAGCTGCTCCATTCGTTTGCAGACCTGCGTTTACTTGCAGTGCTCCAGTAGTTAAAACCAGAAAAAAGCGAAAATTCTTTCCAACCAATACCATCCTGCCAGTATCCAAACCGGTGAACCTGCCTTCCGTGGTTCAGCCTGAAGCCTCTACTCGGCCTGAAGCCTCTACTACTCGGCCTGAAGCCTCTACTCAGCCGGATGCCTCTACTCAGCCGGATGCCTTCAGCCTATGCCCAGCAGCATAATGAACTGATCCAGCCTGATGATCCTATTAGGCCAGTTGACTCGATGCCCGCTGTTGATCCAGATGATCCGGTACCTGATCCGGTGCCCGCTGTCGTGTCAATTGACTCAGAGCCCGCTGTCGTACCTGGTGACTCGGTGCCCACTGCCTTGCCAGATGACGCGGTGCCCGCTGGCGAGCCAAATGACCTGATGCCTGGTGACCCAGTGCCCGCTGTCATACCTGGTGACCCGATGCCCGCTGTCGAGCCAGACGATCCAATGCCTGGTGACCCGGTGCCCACTGCCTTGCCAGATGACGCGGTGCCCGCTGGCAAGCCAAATGACCTGATGCCTGGTGACCCAGTGCCCGCTGTCATACCTGGTGACCCGATGCCCGCTGTCGAGCCAGACAATCCGGTACCTGATGACCTGGTGCCCACTGTCGTGCCTGTTGACTCGGAGCCCACTGCCTTGCCAGATGACGCGGTGCTCGCTGTCGAGCCAAATGACTTGATGCTTGGTGACCCGATGCCCGCTGTCCAGTCAGACGATCCAATGTCTGACCCAGTGCCAGCGGTCATGCCAGTTGACTCGGAGCCCACTGTCGTGCCTGGTGACTCGGTGCCCGCCGCTTCGCTTGGGGGCCCGAGACCTGTCGCTCCGCCTGGGGGCCCGAGACCTGTCGCTCCACCTGGGCGTCCGGCGCCCGCCGCTCCGCCTGAGGGCCGAGACCTGTCGCTCCCACCTGGGGGTCCGGCGCCCGCCGCTCCGCCTGAGGGCCCGAGACCTGTCGCTCCACCTGGGGGTCCGGCGCCCGCCCGCTCCGCCTGAGGGCCCGAGACCTGTCGCTCCATCTGGGGGTCCGGCGCCCGGCTCCGCCTGAGGGCCCGAGACCTGTCGCTCCGCCTGGGGGCCCGAGACCTGTCGCTCCACCTGGGGGTCCGGCCCGCCACTCCGCCTGAGGGCCCGAGACCTGTCGCTCTACCTGGGGGTCCGGCGCCCGCCGCTCCGCCTGAGGGCCCGAGATGTGTCGCTCCACCTGGGGGTCCGGCGCCCGCCGCTCCGCCTGAGGGCCCGAGACCTGTCGCTCCGCCTGGGGGTCCGGCGCCCGCCGCTCCGCCTGGGGGCCCGATGCCTGTTGCCCCGCCTGGGGGCCCGATGCCTGTCGCCCCGCCTGGGGGCCGACGCCTGTCGCCCCGCCTGGGGGGCCCGATGCCTGTCGCCCCCGCCTGGGGGCCCGCGCCCGCCGCTCCGCCTGGGGGCCCGATGCCTGTTGCCCCGCCTGGGGGCCCGATGCCTGTCGCCCCGCTTGGGGGCCCGATGCCTGTCGCCCCTCCTGGGGGCCCGGCGCCCGCCGCTCCGCCTGGGGGCCCGATGCCTGTCGGTTGCCCCGCCTGGGGGCCCGATGCCTGTCGCCCCGCCTGGGGGCCCGATGCCTGTCGCCCCGCCTGGGGGCCCAATGGCCTGTCGCCCCTCCTGGGGGCCCGGCGCCCGCCCCGCCCGCCTGGGGGCCCGATGCCTGTCGCCCCCGCCTGGGGGCCCGATGCCTGTCGCCCCGCCTGGGGGCCCGATGCCTGTCGCCCCGCCTGGGGGCCCGACGCCTGTCGCCCCGCCTGGGGGCCCGACGCCTGTCGCCCCGCCGGGGGACCCGATGCCGGTCGCCCCGCCCGGGGGCCCGATGCCTGTTGCCCCCCACCCGGGGGGCCCGGTGCCTGCTGCTCTCTGCCCGGGGGCCCGGTGCCTGCTGCTCCGCCCGGGGGCCCCGCTGCCTGCTGCTCCGCCTGGGGGCCCGGTGCCTGCTGCCCGCCTGGGGGCCCGGTGCCTGCTGCCCCGCCTGGGGGCCCGGTGCCTGCTGCTTCGCCTGGTAATCCGATGTGCCTCTGCCCCGAGTCCGAGGGCCCGATGTGCTCTGCCCGGAGTCCAGCCCGATGTGCCTCTGCCCGGAGTCCAGCCCGATGTGCCTCTGCCCGGAGTCCAGCCCGATGTGCCTCTGCCCGGAGTCCAGCCCGATGTGCCTCTGCCCGGAGTCCGAGCCCGATGTGCCTCTGCCCGGAGTGCCGCTGCCCGATGTGCCTCTGCCCGGGTGTGCTGCTGCCCGATGTGCCTCTGCCCGGAGTCCAGGCCGGTGTGCCTCTGCCCGGGTCCCAGCCCGATGTGCCTCTGCCCGGAGTCCAACCCGATGTGCCTCTGCCCGGAGTCCAGCCCGATGTGCCTCTGCCCGGAGTCCAGCCCGATGTGCCTCTGCCCGGAGTCCAGCCCGGTGTGCCTCTGCCCGGAGTCCAGCCCGATGTGCCTCTGCCCGGAGTCCAGCCCGATGTGCCTCTGCCCGGAGTCCAGCCCGATGTGCCTCTGCCCGGAGTCCAGCCCGATGTGCCTCTGCCCGGAGTGCCAGCCCCGATGTGCCTCTGCCCGGTGTGCTGCTGCCCGATGTGCCTCTGCCCGGAGTCCAGCCCGGTGTGCCTCTGCCCGGAGTCCAGCCCGATGTGCCTCTGCCCGGAGTCCAGCCCGATGTGCCTCTGCCCGGAGTCCAGCCCGATGTGCCTCTGCCCGGAGTCCAGCCCGATGTGCCTCTGCCCGGAGTCCAGCCCGATGTGCCTCTGCCCCGGAGTCCAGCCCGATGTGCCTCTGCCCGGAGTCCAGCCCGATGTGCCTCTGCCCGGAGTGCCGCTGCCCGATGTGCCTCTGCCCGGTGTGCTGCCCCCGATGTGCCTCTGCCCGGAGTCCAGGCCGGTGTGCCTCTGCCCGGAGTCCAGCCCGATGTGCCTCTGCCCGGAGTCCAGCCCGATGTGCCTCTGCCCGGAGTCCAGCCCGATGTGCCTCTGCCCGGAGTCCAGCCCGGTGTGCCTCTGCCCGGAGTCCAGCCCGGTGTGCCTCTGCCCGGAGTCCAGCCCGGTGTGCCGCTGCCCGGAGTCCTGCCCGGTGTGCCGCTGCCCGGAGTCCTGCCCGGTGTGCCAGTCTTTGATATCCCGCCAGTTACCAGACCCGGGTGGTGGAACATTTTGCCCAGCTAGGACGGTTTGGAGCATCCTGAGGCCGCTCCTTGAGGGGGGGGTACTGTCAGGAATGGACTGGCCAGCAATAGTGGGACTCAGCTGCCTTATGAGCTGCAGTACCAGGGCTGGCCAGCGGGTGCTCCCAGCAATCAGAGACTCAACCTTGCAGCCAGTCAAACACCTGGAACTAATTATACTGGTGTATTTAAGGGACATTCAGACCTGCAGACTCTGCCTTGGTGTTGTGTTTCTCTTGGGCCCTGTATCCTGTTCCTGTTCCCTGTTCCTGTCTGATTCTCTGCTGACCCTGCTCTGATCCCTGGCTTTGTCTGACCATTCTCCTCTGCCTGACCCTCTGTACCACGCTGCCCGCTACCTGCTGAACCTGGCCTGTGACCCCGACCCTTCTCCGCTTGCTCCCCCTGTACCTACCTGCCCGACTGATATTGACCCGGCCTGCCTGACGACGCTTGCATTGTATGTACTGTTATCTGTGGGTGGTTTGTTGGTTTGTTTGCACTGTGTTATGTTTTAGTATTGCACTGCGTTTAGGTTTGTATTGTTAGTGTTAATAAATTACATTGTTTATAACATATCTGAAGTCTGCGTTTCCCTGCGTCAGTCACACACCTCTGGTCATACCCGGGAGCCCTGACACCACCATCCATGACCTCTTTATCTCCCACTCCCTCAACCTCCTAGCGGTCGCTGAAACCTGGATCCAAACCACTGACTCCACCTCCCCTGCAGCACTCACCTATGGAGGCCTTGTCTGGACCCACTCACCCAGACCGAGTGGGTCGCAGAGGCGGGGTGGGGTCGGTATGCTCCTGCCACTGCTGAGCACCTTCCAGGTCCTCCCTAACCCTCCCTATCCTTCTCCTCCTTCGAAGCCCACTGCATCTGGATCTTCTCTCCCACCCCCCTGAGGATTGCGGTAATCTATCGGCCTCCGCATCCCTCTTCCTAGACGACTTTGCCGCCTGGCTTCCCTTCTTCCTCTCCTCCGAGCTACTGACCATCATCCTCGGGGACTTCAACATCCCCATCAACGCCAACAACCCGGCTACTTCCCGACTCCTCCTCCTAACCTCCTCCTTCGCGCTCACACAGCACACACAGTCCTCCACCCACACCAATGGAAACACTCTGGACCCCGTTTTCTCCCACCTCTGCACCCCCCACGACGTCACTAACAACCCCTTCCCCTCTCTGACCACCACCTCCTCACATTTTCCATCTCCCCCTCCTCTAAACTCCCCCCCCCAAAACCGTCAAACCATCACCAGCCGTAACCTCCGAAACCTGAACCTGGCCCCTCTCCACCCGGCAGTTGACCGTCTGTACGAAGTTATACGACGGTATCCTTCCTCTGTCCATGCCCTGACCTGGCCACTACTGCGTACAGCGACTCACTGTCGACTGCCCTCGACTCCCTGGCACCCCTAACCACGTGTAACATCAGACCACCGACCTTCAACCCTGGCAGAACAACCACACAAAATGTCTCAAATGACTATGGCAATTATGGCGATTATGGCACAAACCCAGATCTCCTCGCGCGTTTCTCCCTCTACAAAGCCGCCTTCCTCACCTACACCACCTCCCTCCACGCCGCCAAGCAAGCCTATTTCGTAACCCTTATCAACAGCCTCTCCACCTGTCCTCGCCGGCTCTTCTCCACTTTCAAATCCCTGCTCTCCCCCCCCCACCTCCATTCAGTACCTCACTCACCACCCACGAGATTGCCAATCATTTCCAAAACAAGATTGACGCAATCCGTAAGGACATTGTCAACTCACAATCTACCTCTCCACCTAGCCCCCCTCCCTCCAAATCACCCCCTCAACTCTCCCCTCCTCCGACCTCAGAGCCGCACTGCCCCCCACCATACCTAACGCCCCGCACACTATCACCTCCCCAACGCTCCGCTCCTTCAGCCCAGCTACCACTGAGGAGGTCTCTAAGGTCCTCACTGAAGCCCTCCTCACCACTTGCCCCCCGGACCCTATCCCCTCACAGCTCCTCCAGTCACCCTCCCCCCTCCACTATTCGCTCCCACACCCACATCTTCAATCTCTCCCCTCTCCACTGGCACATTCCCCTCCCCTCTAAAGCACACACACATCACCCCCATACTCAAAAAACCCTCCTTGACCCCCACTGACCCTAAACAACCTTAGACCCATCTCCCTGCTACCATTCACTTCCAAGCTCCTTGAGCGCCTGGCCTACAATCGCATAAGCGCCCACCTCACTGATAACAACCTCCTTGATCCACTACAGTCTGACTTCCGTCCCCTAACCTCCACCGAAAACCGCCCTACTTAAAATCACTAATCGCTAACCGCCAAAGCTAATGACCATTACTCAGTGCTCTTGCTCCTAGACCTCTCCGCGGCCTTCAACACAGTCGACCACCCCCTCCTCCTTACTAAACTGCACTCCCTTGGCATCAGGGATGCTGCTCTCTCCTGGTTCTCCTCCTACCTATCCCAATGCTCCTTCAG